ACCCATAGCTGCCAGGTTTGTTCCCTTACACCCCACCTTCTCCAGCTGCCCCACAGTAGTTAGGTCTGGTCCCCCACACCCACACCTGTTACAGCTCCCCCAAAGCTGCTAGATCTAGTTCCTCACACCCCTACCTGCTCCAGCTGCCCCCAAGTAGCTAGGTCTGGTCCCTTACACCCCTACCTGTTCCAGCTTCCCCTAAGCTGCTAGATCTGGCTTTTCACACCCCTGCCTGCTCCAGCTTCCCCACAGTAGCTAGGTCTGGTCCCTTGCACCCCTACCTGTTCCAGCTTCCCCTAAGCTGCTCCAGTTGCCCTACAGTAGCCAGGTCTGGTCCCTCACACCCCCACCTGCTCCAGCTCCCCCACAGTAGCTAGGTCTGGTCCCTCACACCTCCACCTGCCCCAGCTCCCCTACAGTAGCTAGGTCTGGTTCCTCGTACCCCCACCTGCTTCAGCTGTTTCATAACATCTAGGTCTGGCCAATCACACCCTCACTTGCCCCAGCCTGTGCACAGTAGCTAGGGCTGGTCCCTCCCACCTCCACCTACCCCAGCTTCCCCATAGCAGGTCTAGTCCCTCACACTCCTACCTGCCCCAGATACCCTGCAGTAGCTAGGTCTGGTCCTTCATACCCCCACCTTCCCAATCTCCCCTACAGTTGTTTGATCTGGTTCCTGCAATTCTTGGGATTACTTAGCCCCCTCCTCTATTTCTGACATCCTGCAATTGCTAAGCTTGGCTCCCTCTACTCCTCCACTAACCTCAGCTTTCCAGTAGCTGTTTAGCCTGCTGGCCTCTCCCCTGCTACCAGCTCCAGTTCCTCGGTAGCTGCTTAGTCCGGTGCCCTACACTCCCACTTGCCCCAGCTCCCTATAGCTGCCTAGCCTTGTCCCCACAGCTTCTGGATCTACCCTGCTCTTATTTTGCCAGTCCCAGGTGGCACCCTGTAGCTGTTTATCCTGATATCCCACTCCTCTACTTGCTCCATCCTTCCATACTCCCACCAGCTACCTCATAGCTACCATCCTTGATTGCCCTGTAGCTGCCCAGCCTGGTCCCACAACTCCTGGGGTTGCCTTGTTCAGCTTTCAACTACTTTAGACCTCCTGTAGTTGCTCATCTGGGTCCCCTTTACACCAATGTTATTCACTATACTCTCCTTTTTAACTGTTTGGCTTGGTCTCCATAGCTACTGGGGTTACCCTGGACCCCAGTCCTTTCATTTTCTGCAGCCCTTCAGTTACTGCTCTGCCCTGGTCTTGAGCTACTTGGCAATCCTGAGCCCCCAGTACTCTTGCTCCATTCCTTCTATGGCTGGACAATTTGGTCCTCACATCTCCAGCCCCCTCCAGTTATGCAACCCTCCCCAGCTCCCTTGTAGCTGCCTTGACGGGTCCCCTAAGCTCCTAGTATGGCTCTGGTACCCAAATTCCAGCAATTGTCACAGTATCCTATAGATGCTCAGTCTGCCCTCCCAACTCTACCTGCTCTGAGCCTCCTGCAAAGCTTTTCCTGGTCCCTGGGGTTGCTCTGGATGCCCATTAACCTCACTTGACACAGCTCCCAACCCTTCTGTAGCTCCTTACCTTGATTCCCATATCTCCCCTACACCCATCTCACCTATAGCCGCTTGACTTGGTCTTCTCGACTCCCACCAGTCCCAGATTCCCTGTAACTGCTCTGCCAGGTCCTCTGAGCACTTGGAGCTATCATGGCTCTTCATTTGTCTCACCCTCCAGAGCTTGCTTGAAGCTATACTGCCTAGTCCCTGAGTTCCTCTGGCAGGCTTCCTCTCTGGTCCCTGGGCTCCTCTGGCAGGCTTCCTCCCTGGTCCCTGAGTTCCTCTGGCAGGCTTCCTCCCTGGTCCCTGGGCTCCTCTGGCAGGCTTCCTCCTTGGTCCCTGAGTTCCTCTGGCAGGCTTCCTCCCTGGTCCCTGGTCTCCTCTGGCAGGCTTCCTCCTGCCCAACTTACCTTCTTTCGTCTTCACTCCTGGAATCTGCTTTCCAATGATGGGCTTGATTCCTGCACCCTAGTGCATCCACTCTTACTCTATCTCTCTCCAACAGGCACATCCGCCTTCCCAGACGAGCCCTATGGACACCCCATACCTCCCCATTCCCTCTTTACCACCTCTCTGCCCTCCCATTGCTGCCCTGGCTCCATCAGCCTTCAGGTCTGGTCAAGTCCATCCCCCAGGTTTCTGGGTCTATCCCATCAACTCCCTGAGGCATACTCTGGTGGTCTGTGGGTGTGCACAGCTTTCATGGTCTGTGCTTCTGTCCATGGAATCCCCGGAGACTGTCTGGTTGACACGGGCCTGCAGACAGACACCTTCCTTTTGCTACAGATGGGCTGCTCTGTCGACTCCTTTCCATCCTCCTGTGATCTGCTGTCTGCTAGGCTGTGGCTTTCTCCAGCTCTAGCCTTCTCTGGTCATCACATTCACATGTGGGGACTCGCCAAGATGACTGCTACGCTTCTTGCTTTGGGTCTGGGTTACTAGCAGCCCAGCTCTGAGCTCTGTCTTCTTCCAGGATTCACAGTCCTTGACCCAGAAGTGTGAATGCCACGCTTCTCCCAACCCAGTACAGACTAAGAACAGGATTGAAACCGGGTGACACGGGACGCTTCCTGAAGTTCCTCTTTCTTCTGGTGGTTTCAGTGTTTGGGGTAGGGGGAGACAAGGGGGAGTCCAGATATGGTCTAGGTTACCTCATGTAGGGGCAGGTGAGGTGATACTCTTGAGGCCTGTAGAAGGTGTGAAGCCCGGCTGTCACAACCTAGAGTTCCTGGGTTGGCTGGGGCTGAGTGATTATGTCCACTCTCTTCTGATCACCTCACTGGAGGTCTTTCACTCAGCCTAGGTGGGAATCTCTGCCGTTCCCTCTCTCCAGGAGATCCCAAAAGTATCTGTGTCTCAGGGAGGAAAACAAAGACCGGAGTGGGAGGGCAGAGTGCAGATCAGATGGGGAAGGGAAAGGGCTCAGGCCTCTGGCTGTGCTTACAAGCAGAGGATTTTGTGGCCACACAGAGAAGCACGGCGAAGGTCCAGAACTGGCTCTCGGCTAAACTAAGAGAGCGGGAGGGGTCTCTGGGGCTGGAGCTCCACGGGTTTCATTTCGGGGTCATGGACCAGAATTCTGATTCTGGCGTCTCACAGGAAACAGGGAACAAGAGGAGTACTCAGGACAGTTAACCCTATATTGGGAAGAAGAGAGCCCATGGGGATCAGAGTAGATGCTGCCAGGGTAAGGGTTTGGGGGTACAGCAAGGCTCTGGGACTAAGAATAGGGGACAACGTTAGAGGGAATAGAGACTGGTCAGGCTCATGAAGAGTTGGGGTACATTCCATACTAGAGGACACAGGGCTGAACGGAGAAAAGGGCTTCTCTAGGCATGCTCACTCATTCCTCTTTTTTTTTTTTTCAGTCAGAACTATGGCCCTGTCCATCTACTCCCCGGTTCCTATGGTGACCTGGGTTGTTTGGTCAAGAGCTACTTCCCTGAGCCAGTAACCGTGCCTTGGAATTCTGGAGCCCTGTCTAGTGGTATGTGCAGCTCTCCTTCTGTCTCGTAGTTCAAGCTATGCTCCGTCACTGTCTCAGTAATTATGCCTGCTAGCACCCGAACCAGCCAAACCACTACCTACTGTGGGACACATCTGGCCAGCAAGATAAACAAGAACATTGCGGAGAGGATGCCCTGCAGGGGGAAGGGTCATCGGGGGTCAGGCTTATGCCATTCTCTTTCCCAGATCAACCAGGATGGGCAGCTGTGCCCAGAGAGGGGACTTCAGTCCAAAGCACAGGAATTTCTGTGTGTCTGTCTTTGTTCATGGCACTCCTATTTGGAGAACAGTTTTCTGGGCTGGGTGTCCTTGTCTCAGACCTGGGACGCAGATGTGGACATGGGTCTTGACCCACCAGCATCATTCAGAAGCAGCTTGACCTGAGCACACATTAGAACTAACTGTTCATCTCCACACTTTGGTGCTTTCTCTCCTCCAGATCCCAGTACCATCCAGCTTTTTTTTTTCCTATAGGACTTGGAGACCAAGGACTCAAACCTGTGCCCAAGTCTAGGTGAGCTGCTAGGCCTTGATCTCAGCTCCAGGAAGATAGCTAGTGTCCTGAGTCACACTACATTAGAAGGTAGTCCAGGTGCTGACCCATCTCCTCTCCTCACCAACTCCTGACCTCCTGGCAGGACCATCATCCTCCCCCTAAAGCACAAGAATGTGCTTGCGATCTCCCTGACTCCCAGGATCATGTGTGTGGTGGTGGACACTAACCAGGATGACTCCAAGGTCCATTCTAGTTAGTTCATGGATGAATGGAGGTGCATATAGCTCAGACAGCCCCTAGAGGAGCGGGGCAACAGCACCTTCTGTGTGGTTAGTGTCCTCCTCAGTCTGCATCAGGACTGGCTGGAGGGTGAGGAGTTCAAGTACAGGATCAACAAAGGGGCCCTTCCAGCTCCCATGGAGAAAAACCACCTCTAAACCCAAATATGGGAGCAGATGGGTGGACTGTGTGGAGTGTCGTGGGCTTGCAGGCAGAGCCTGGAGTAGGCTGCTCTCTACCTTGACAGTGACATACATGTCGCCTGTCCTCACAGGGGGCTGGCCTTGTGCTGGAAGTTTAGACCATGCCTCCATCCAATAGGGACGGATAACTAAGAACAAGTTCAGTCTGATCCACATGGGCATGTATGGCTTCCACCTGTGGTATAGCAATAGAAAGCTAGATCAGAAACTATAAGAGCACCTATCTCATCCTGTGGACAAGAACAGGCAGCAAGAGGGAACTGTTTACTCCATGGCCTAAAAGGCTCTACACAACTACCACACCAAGAAGATCGCTCTTTTTTTCCCAGATAGATGAACGCAGTGCTCACCTTTGGGCCATTGATGTCTGCCATTGCCTAGAGCATATGGGTCTTCCTGGCCATGTCAAAGTCATCTCTCACAGGGGAGGGGCCTTGACCTTAGCCATTGCTTCTTAGGCCCTCCCTCCACTTGGCTGCTGCTGAACACTGTGACTGGACCCCTTCTGCAATCCCTCAAGAGAAGGAACACATTAGCCTTGCAACTGTTAGTCTGTCTCTGTCCCCCTTCTGATCAAGTCTTCTTTTTCTTCTGTGATCTTGAAGAGACATGTCTAGCCATGGACATACAGACTACCCTTTACACTTAACACACCCAACACAGTCAGCTCTGCCTGACTTGGGCTAGGTTGTCTACCTCTTGGGACATTCTCCATCCAGGGGCTACTCAATCTTTGGCCTCAAAAGGATCGAGGTTGCCTTAAGGGAGAAACTGTACAGATCCCCACATGCTTGTAGAATTTAGATGCATTAGAACCTGGCTGATGACTATCACTCAGCCCACATGGCACCTGCACAAGCATGTACAGTAGTGTGCATGAGTACTACACACGCCTTCCACACTCATATGAGCACCCTGTATAGCACTCAGACCCAGCAAGATTTCAGGTCCTCTCTTGGGCTCCTCCTCTTCAATGTTCACGTATGGGTCAGCTGAGACAGATACAACTGCATCCATTCCAGCCCCACAGCACACCGGTGGCTCAGGTAAGGACCTGTGGGACTGATGCTGTAGACCTGTGAGCAGATCCTAGGGAGTCCACGGGTTCAGGCCTCTCTAACTTTCGCTGTTCTTACTCTTGTGGGTATTCTTAGTTTTGCCTTGTCAATTGTGTGATTGTAGCTGAGTTTACTGGGAACAAAAAATTGATAATTTTTCTAAAAGTTTCTACAAAGAAATTAAGCCTCTCTGCAGCCATTTGAAGGAACGGGTTTCTCTGGTCTCCCTGGGTGCCTTTGCAGTCATCTGGACTAAGCAGAGGGAACTCACTAAAGGTGAATGATTCTTGTTTACTTAACTATTCTAAAAAAGAGATAACAATATCCCAAAGAGCTTAAGAACTTGGAAGACATTTTCTTTTCTTCTTTTTTTTCTTTATTTTTTTCCATTTTACATACCAACCACAGTTCCCCCTCCCTCCCTTCCTCCAGCTCTCCCACACTTTCTCCCCACCTATCCCCCCCTCCATTCTCAGAAAGAGTAAAGCCTCCCATGGGGAGTCAGCAAAGTCTGGCATATCAAGTTGAGGCAGGGCCAAGTCCTTCCCCCCTGTATCAAGACTGAGCAACGTTTCCCTCCATAAGGGATGGGTTCCAAAAAAGTCAGTTCATGCACGAAGGATAAATGCTGGTCCCACTGCCAGTGGCCCCACAGACTGCCCAAGTCACAGAACTGTCACCCACATTTAGAGGGCCTAGTTGGGTCCTAAGCAGGTTCTCCAGCTATCAGTCCAGTGTCAGTGAGTTCCCACTAGCTCGGGTCAATGGCGAACAGTTTCTTACAAGATGGCATTAAAAACTTCTAGGGACACACAAAGAAAAGGTAGAGGAAGTGAAAGGTCAGACATGTCTCTGGTGCCAGGACATGAATGGTCAAATATTTTTTTTTTTGGATAAAACTCCTAGTTTCCTTGGAAGTAAAAAGTAGACATAGAAACTGCTAGGAAGAATAGAACTTTGACCCCAAAAGTTAAAGAGTTAGGTAATGATGACCATTTTGAGAATTTATAAAGAATAGAATTATAACTGTTGTACACATGAAAGTGATATACAGGGGTAAATTGGCTTATACTTGAAAATAATATCCTAGGTATGGCAGCACACACTCAACTGATTATAAAAATATAAAAAGTTTCACATTGTTAAGGACTAATCATAAGGCTTGAATCCCTTTTTTGTAGCCACATGTTTGTTGCTGGCTATGGCATAGTATGAGTAAGATGTACCTGGCTAGATATAATCATTTGGCTTGAATATAAAAATTAATGAAATGGGGTAAAGATCAATGATGTCAAGGGAGTAGGGAAGACAAAAACCAAAATGGGTAAATGTTAATGATTCTTGGAAAATGATTAAAGAGAAACATATTAAAACTGCTCTTGTTTATTTGTATAAATAAAAATGGGTTATTTGATGCCATCGGTTTAAAAGACAACCGGTGGTCAGTCTCTTCATTTTCTAAAACCTCACATCTCCATCCTGTGGCTCGGAACCCCGCTGGAGCTGGACTCCAGCAATAATCCCCTCCCCACAAGGCTGAGTGGCCTGGTTCACTCCCCAGTGTGGACTTTCTCCTAAACCCAGGCAACACCAGGCACAGGCCCTGCCATCACTTTGGCTTTCTGAACTTGGGAACAGTCAGCGAGGGTCAGGGGTCAGGGGTCAGGGGTCAGAGGCCCTGACTCAGCCCAGACAGTCTCAGAACTGAGGGGTGGAACAGATAGGTAGGGACTGCTACACGGTCCATGTTGCCATCAGGTCTACTGTGTCTGGACTGGAACAGTTGGGGGAACGTTGGCTGCTGGCCTAAGAAGACAGGAAGGTGTCTACTGGCCCAGTCCAGCTGGTGCTTTCTCCTGAGCCTCCCTGTTGACCCACCTGCCGTATAGGGACTTACCCCAGCCCCATCTTGTTGGAACAAACACTGACTGTCCCTCTCTCTGCAGAGCTGGAACTGGACGACAGCTGTGCTGAGGCCCAGGACGGGGAGCTGGACGATCATCAGCGTCTTCATCACCTTCTTCTGCTCAGCGTGTGCTACAGTGCCACCATCACACTCTTCAAGATCAGCTACTTTATCCCTGCACTGCTTCCCATCGGTCCCACACTGTTCCATCCATCTCACCCAATGTCCCCTGGTGTCCATTGCTGTGTATCCTGCTGCCCCCACCATGTCCTCACAGATCCCACACCAGCCTCATGCCATCATAACATGGTCATCATGCTGTTGTCTTCACGCTGTCCCCATGGTGTCCCCTGTAAGCCCCTAGAGCAGTGGTTCTCAACCTGTAGATCATGGCCCTTGGGGGGGGTCACATATCAGATATCCTTCATACCAGATATTTAAATTGCAATGCATAGCAGTAACAAAATTACAATTATGAAGTATCAGTGGGATAGTTTTATGGTTGGGGATCACCACAGCCTACGGAACTGTATTAAAGGGTCAAAGCATAGGAAGGTTGAGAGCCACTGTCCTCCGGTAGCTTTGATATTCACATGCCATCCTCGTGATGTCTCCACAATGTGCTCACACTTCCCTACATCCCTTGTTGTCCCATACTACAGATGCTGACCTCCAAGTTGTTCTCACTCTTTTCACACTCTGCCCACACTCTGTCCTCACGCTGAAGCTCCGTTGCACTGTGAGGTTCCTTTGCTGTACCTCACGCTATCCCTGTATTCCCCACCTCCATCTTCTCCATGGTCCCCACACCATCTGCCCAGCAGGAGATATCTCTGGTTAATTCACAGAGATAGCAGGAGCGATCTATGGTCAATTCACAGAATGAAAGGGCTTGGTCAGTGATCTCATGTGCCCTGCTCAGCAGGGAAGCAGACCTTTTCTATTGTGGTGGAAAGGAAACAGATGATCACTTCCAATTATAAGAACATGATTGGGCAGAGGGCCTAGGGAGCTTTGAGGGGCTCAGGACTTGCCAAGTGTTCCTCATATCTGTGTGATACCTAGCCCACACTCCCTTCTGGACTCAGTGCCCTCTGACAATGATAACTCTCTGTGCATCTTTTTCTACGCAATGATCATGGGTGTCCATATCCCCATGAAAACTAAACGCTGGCAACAGGAAGATCCTCAGCTCCATGTCTGTGAGTCTATCAAACTCCTGGTCACTTATAAAGTAACATCAGGTCCCTGACCCCTAATGAACCTTCTGACCAGGGTCATATGTGGATTAGGGACTAGGTGGACATTGAAGATAGAATGTGACACAGGCCAATTATGTTCCAGAAATGACCTGCTCTTTGGACCCGAGTCCCAGAAAGAACACATGGCAGTAGACAGAGCACTTAGGGGAGGCAAGCCTGCTAGAAGGAGACTTTTCTCCAGGCAGTTCTTGTTAGCACAGCTTCCCTGGTATAGCTGACTAAAACAGACATCATCCAAATGCTGGTCCCCCCGCCTGAAGCAAACTTGCAAACAAGCATAGTCCAATCATCATGCCTGCCTGATACCACGCTAGGCCTTTTCATCTTTCAGAGTCTCAGAGATGAGCACCCAAGTTCTTCAGAGAAGCAGAACAAGTGGCGGAAGATGGGTGGATGATAGAGGATAGATATAAACAGTAGACCATAGAGAGAGGACGATGGAATGGAGATGACAGGCAGGTAGACAACAGAGGGAGGACAGACAATAGACAGATGGGTGACACACAGAATGAAGCTCCAACTCCAGAAGGATGATTTTATGGACAGATAGAGACCCAACGGTTACAGACGGAATGGGGGAGGGACTGAAGTCTTAAGGGACTGGCCACACAGTTGGGCTGAATATGTGGATGATAAGTTTGGTAGACCTGGGAAAGCGAGCAGATGGAAACCGAGGCAGGAGCTGAGATTGTGAACCTGTAACAAGATTTTTCCTTCTCTGATGAGACGGTTCATTTGGCTGTCACCTTGACTGGATTAAGTGATGGCATTTCTCTGGAGCTGTCTGTGCAGGGCTTCCCAGAGATGGTTAGATTTTGAGAGCTCTGAACCAACCAGAGGGTCAGCTTGTTGTGAATGGATTCAGAATATGATGGCATTATTGGGGGGGGGGTGGTGGTGGTAGGGGGAGGGCCTAATGGAGGAAGTAGGTTACTTGTGTGCAGTTGGGACTATATTGAAGTGATAATTTTTCCTATCTTGGGTTCTTGTCCACCACCCTACAAGAATGGAGTGGAAAGATATTGAAGGGAAAACAAGGGGAACTTTATTTGCTTTCAGGGGAAATAATTCAAATAAGAAAGCAAAAATTCTGGAACCCTTGGCAGCAGCGGAATGTCCCCCAGGAGAATCTGTGTTCCTGGCAAGCTTCAGGGTACCAACTGAGAGACTCTCAGAAAGGGGTACAGAGCAAAAAGCTCTCAGAGGGCTTTGGAGTACTTTCTTGACAGCCTGTCTTCCCTGCAGCAGATCTGTAAGGCCCTGTGACCATCTGTGACCCAGCAGTGACCATCACCCTCCAAGCTGACCAGCATATCCCAGTCCCCTCTATGGCAGGACTCCAGTCTTTCCATAGCATTGCCCGCCTCCCCACAGGCTTCCCATGGAGGCTCCCAACTTCAAACCCCAGCTGCTGACCACAGTTCTGCATGAGCCCTGCATGTTGGTATAGTCCTTTCTAGGAATCCATTTGTCATAGCAGACAATTGCAGAGAAAAATTAGACCTCTCTAGGGTCACTCGGCCTGGAGTGCTGGATCTCTGCTACACCAGAGGCCTTGCTTGTTCCCCTAGTACTCCCAAGACAGTCCTCAGAGCTTCATCCTTTGCCTGGTACTGGCAGTCTCTCTGTGCCCTGGCCTCATCTCTGGCACTACTTCTTCTCTTATGTGTCCATCACTATCAATTTGCTTCCCGTTCTGGCTCTAAGGATTGGAGGACAAAGGGCATACATTGGCCTTTGGAGAGCCTGATAAATGAATGAATAAATCAATAAATGGTCGAAAAAATGGGCCAGTGAGATGGTTTAGTAGATAAGGATGCCAAACTCCATGACTGGAGTTTAATATCTAGGACCTACATGGTGGATAGGACCGACTCTTGCAAGTCCTTTGATTTTTCTGTGTTCAGTGGCATGTGCTCCCCAGCGCGTGCACACACACACACACACACACACACACACAGAAAACATCTGAAATAATGAGTAGACAAATGACCATGCCGTTCAGCAAATGTCTCAAGGCCTGCAAAACCATTTGAGACCCTGGATGACACCGTCCCTGAGACTGCTTACCTCAGCCTATTGGAGAAGGCTTCCTGGAGGGATTATGGCCACTGCTCTGCTTGACCTGAGTCACTTCTGGCTTTCTGGTTTGATTTTTTTCCATCAGAGACCCCATACACACAGCTCTGGGCAACCCTGGGGAACATAGAGTACCAAGGCTGGAGACTCATGGCCTGTCTTGGGGATGGAAGCTACCTAGTTTGTCCTGGGAGTCTGTATTAGAGGTTTTCTCCAGCTAGAAGATAAAAATTGTACAATGATGCTGTGACACTCCCTTAGCAAACCCTTCTGGTGCCAAGATTCTCAACACAGCCATAGTCTTGCTACGTGAGCTCCCCATCTTCACAGCAACACAAGGGTATGCCTGCTACATGACTCCCTTCTGGTGTCATAGAAGTGTTGATTGAAATTCATCTGCTACAGACATGTGATGACCTTGTGGCACTGGAACCTCTGTAGGACTGTTGGTTGACGCCTTTCCCGGCACCAAAGCCACAGTCTGTAACAGCCTGTCATGTGGGTTGTGGTGGTTACCACGCTTCACAACTCGTCTGTATCAACAGCCTCCTCACAGGCAGCTTCTCAGCAGAAGCATCTGTTTCTAGCTGTGGTAACAAACAGGACACACGCTTGCCCACACCGAAAGCCAGGGCTCAGGCCTGCTCTAGGGCCTAGCAGACTTGATTTCTTCATTTTGAAGATGGAGGCTCTCACCTAGCAGAAACCAGATCCCAGTGCCCAGCTGGAAGGATGCTCAGTCCTCCAAGTCCCTAACTTGGTCGTTCTGTCTGTGATGGGTTGTGTTGAATATGTATTGACTGAATTTATTCTGAATGACATACAAGGCCTCAAAAGAAAAATTGGGGTGCTGGAGAGATGGCTCAATGGTTAAGAGCACATGTTGCTCTTGCAGAAGACCTGAGTCTTGTTCTTAGGTTCTCAGTACCCACACCAGGTGGTTCACAACCTTCTGTAACTCCAGCTTCAAGGGATCATATGCCTTTTCTGGTCTTCACAGACTCCTATACACCCCTCTTTCTTCCTCTCTCTTCCTCCCTCTTCCTCCTCTCTCTCCCTCCTTCTTTCTTTTTTTCCCCACACACAGAATGGAGAGGAGAGAGAGAGGGTAGAAGGGAGGGAGAAAGGGAGAGAGAGTTAGAGAAAGAGTGAGAATGAGAGAATTTGGGGTTAAAGAAAGAACATGTGTGTTTGGTCATTATAAGGGCTAAACACAAGTTAAGGACCAATGGCATCAATAACCAGAACAGAAGGAGTTATGGGAAATATATAATTCTCTGATTGTAAACAAATACTTTCTCAAAATATACCCAGTCCAGGAACTTAGAAAGTAAGATGGACGGATTTGTACACAGAGGAAAAGATGGGGGCACCTTTAAGGATAACTTACGTGGATGTTACAGGATGAGAAAGCCCAGTGCAGGTAAACATTAAAAAGGGACTGCAGACAGCAAGGATCCAGCCCATGAGGTTGTGAAGGGGACAAGGTTCCATCAAGACTGGCCTGGAGACCTGTGTTACATTCTAGAAAAGCCTCTGACTATGTTCAGAAGGAAGAAGTAATTTGTTTGGTGGAGGAAATTTCAAGTCAGTATCACACTGAGGTTGGGCATGTTTATGACTCACTTTCATAGCCAGTTACACTGAAAGTAGAAAGCGGAATGTAGAATATGGAAAATGTGCTGTTTGGCAAAGACAGGAGCGTGAGCAAAATACCTGCAGAAAGATAGATAAAGGATGCAATCCTTAAAAAATGCATGTGTGTGTATGTGTGTCTATGTATGTGTGTGTGTGTGTGGTGTGTGCATGTGAGTATGTGTATGCATGTTTTTATATGTGTGTTGTGTTTATGTTGAGTGTGCCCATGCATGTTTGTGTGTCTCTTTGTGTGTGCACATGCCATGGTGTACATATGGAGGTAGGAGGGCAACTTTTGGGAATAATTTGATTGTTTTCCTTCTATCACATGTTCTGGTGACCAAGTTCAGTTCCTGGATTTTCAACACACTCAGGTTTTCACCATCACAGCTTCGTGCATAGTACCTTTGCCTGCCGAGTTATTCCTGCAGTATTTTCTTTATTGTTTGAGGATTTCATACATACATATACTGTTTGATAAAATCCATCCCATATTTCCTTTTCTATCCCCACCAGATTTTCTTCCTAACTTTGTGTGTCACTGAGTGAGCAAACATCCACTCTCTCTGTTCTCGACTGTGGATGTGACTAGCTGCCTCAAGCTCCTGCTTTCCCTGATCATAGTGACAGACTGCAACCTCAAATTGCAGGCTGAATAAAGCTGCTATTACTTCTATTTTAACATAGCAACAGAAATGAAACTAAGATGCTTGCAGTGATGGATTGTACACTTGAGCTATGAGAGAAAATGGACATTTCTTTATTTAAGTTTTAATTCACAGGAATTTAATTCACAGTATACACACACACACACGTACACACACACACACACACACACACACACACACACACACATTGTTTTTATCAGAGTAGCAAGATTGTCCCAGGCCCAAATGGTCTCTATTATGACTGATCTCCCTTGCTTTGTAGGGAGGTTGGTTTGGTCACATAAAGCAGAAAGTCTGTGGAGGATTAAGCAGTTTTCCTCAAGGCTAAGGCAGAGCTGTCCTCTTGGTGCTCCAGGTTCCACTGCCTTCACTCCCAGTTCTGCGTCCCGAGTGTGGAGCTTTTCATCATTTGTCCAGTGCACATGACCGAAGCCCAGGCTCCACGCATCTCTGTGCATGAGGCACAGATTCACTGCCTCCTATGTCCACCTCCCTATGGTTTCCATGGCAGCAGTGCCATTCTTGGGAGTCTGCTGCTCCTCAAGTCTTGCCCAGCACCATACGCTGTGGTGGCACAGGCCAGTTTGGATTCTGCACCCCCTGTGGCTGTGCTGACGAGATCCTCTCCTGACCAGTCCACCCAGCTGAGCTCCCTCATGTAGCCACAGCTCGACGTTATACAGACAAGAACAGTGTCCTGACGACATTGGGACATGTCAGCTCCCAAATTCCACCCGAGAACTCACTGCCCAGCCAGCACCTGGCATACACTCTTGGGGTGTCCTCTAAGGTCTTTGATTGTGTATCGTCTCTTTCCATGGATGCTAATCCTTATATTCCAGAAACATCTTCCTGGGACCAGATATCCCTCTACAGGGATGCCTCAGGCCATGAGTCTGTCTGTGTCTCCTGATCTCCATGTGAAGACAGAACCAGCTGTGGTAGGACACAGACGCACGCAACAGCGAGACACTGTGCAGCCCTGTGCAGTCTTATTCTTCCCTTTACCATAGAAAGGGTGTTATCACTGAGCTAGTGAGAGAGGATTACTGTGGACCATCTTCTCCACAGCATGAGCTCAGTCTATAATCTGCCTTTGAACCTGAGAATATGCTCAGGTGATCCTGGTGTAAATATCTGCTCTGTGCCTACTGCCTTGACCTCCTTCCTGACAGGTATGGGCTGAAACTGACCCTGCAAGAGTCTCATCCACATCTCACTCTCCCTAACTAGCAGACATTTGGAGGATATTTGGAATATAGCTGAATGCTGGATGGGTAAGATGTTGGGATATCACCATGAAGGACATTGTATGTAGGAAAGATATGAACTTTTAGGGACCATTGGGCAAGTTATTATTATTTACCAGTCGATATATAGGTCCCTAGGACCCAGACTGTGCCTGTGTTTGCAGACAGGATCTTTTCTTTCTCTTTTTCTTTTTTCGAGACATGGTGTCTCTGTATAGCTGCTCTGGCTGTCCTGGAACTTGCTTTGTAGACCAGACTGGCCTCAAACTCAAAGAGATCTGCCTGCTTCTGCCTCATGAGTTCTGGGATTAAGGCGTGCATCACCATTGCCTGGCACAGACAGGATCTTAAACAGGTAAGTTATAATGCGGGTTAGGGTGTGCCTCCTCCAGCCTGACTGTGCACTTACGAGGAGAGATCAGGACACACACACACACACACACACACACACACACACACACACACGGATGGCCTGTGAGGACATGGAGGAGAAGGCATCTACAAGCCAAGCAGAGCCCTGCTGAGAACCCACTGTCAACACCTGGTCTGGGACTTCTACCAGGGCTTGAGACAATAAACAGTTATGGAGGCAGCTGAATGAATCCCTGTCCTTGGCTGAATCCATAACAGCACAATGTCACCCAAAGCCACTTGCTTCTCAGTTTCTGTGGCTGGTTTGGAGGCTTTGTCTGGCCAGCTTGGGGGACACACTGGGCTTCAGGGTAGCCTGAAGCTGGGAAGAAGCTGCCTGTAGTGAGGAAAGGCTGAGGGCCTCTGTGGTTTGAGGGAGCAGAGCTAGAGCCCAGCAGTGAAGGGCCCACTAGGGGAAGCCTGGGAGGACACATGACCAGGAGAGAGGTAGAGGGGCCTGCATGGTTCACTGGGCTGTCTAATTGTGCCTTGTTCCTGAGTGTCAGGGTCGGTCCACATAGGAAGAACACAGTGCTTGTAGAATTTCTAAAGAATGTTTTATTGTCGAAAAACAAAGACAAAAATAAACAAACAAAACCAAACTAGAGAGAGATCTTAAATGTATCAAGGATCTCCAGGAAATCAGGTGAAGCCAAAGCCCCAAGTCCTCTGAGAACTTCGTCCCAGTCATGGAATGGCAGGTACCCACTTTTCTTTCTGCTTTCCTTTTTCTTCCTGTGTCTTCATTGACTGAGAAATGATGGAGAAGCAGGCATTGGGCCTCCGGAAACCTACTCCACACATTAGTAGATAGTGCTTCAGGCCATGACAATTCCTTGGGCAATTTCTTGTATGTGTCCTGAGCAGGTGCCAGGACTGGAGTATGAGCCTGCTGTACCATTAATCTTTTCCGTGTCCCTCGACCACTATTGCTCTTTGCCTTCTTTCTTCTGGCCTAATTGGAACCTGCTCACCAGGTCCCTCTCCAGGAGGTCCTTGCTGGTCACCCAGCCCATGAACAGTGTCCTGCCAGGGTCACACAGAAGCTATGAAGTCCAGGCCCTCTTCTGCTAGGAGTTCAGAGTGTAGTTGAGATATCCAGAGAGAGGGCAGTGTCCAGATCTCAAGGCTGTGGGGTCAGGGTAGTCTGAGAATCCGGTGTGTTGAACCAGTGTCCAGAAGAGGGATATGCACAAGTAGCCCAATCTTTGGAAGGTTCTCAGGTTTCAAGACCCTGAGAAACTCAGGCCTTTTCTTTATTCCAGCGTTCATGGATTGGGTCAAAAGGAGCCTGGCTGAACATAGGTAATGCAAAGGCCTCTGGAATAACTCCAGTGAGATTCATCTGGGCCATGGTCGCCTTGGTCCTCTTGGCTTGGTTGAAAGATGTCTACTCTTGGGGATTTGAAAACTGTCTCTTCTGTCAGGAATCCCTGTTTTAGAGGATGATTTGAACATGCCTGGCTCCAAGGTTGGTCCCTTTCGAGTTGGACACAGACAATGTGGGCACTTGTCTCTTCTTCAGTGAGTGTTCTTCTGTGCCAACTGTCTGGATCTACTGTTGAGGAAACTATGGCCCTTCTGACCCCATCTTGGCTGCTGCTGTGATGGTGGTTTAGGTCCTGTTGGCTGTTTCCTGGGACAGAATATACTCTTCACATGGTCCTCCAACGAGGGAAGAACTGAGGGTGGCTGGGTCTCAGGGTTAGAGGGTAGTGAAGCATGTGTGCGCAGTGTGATCTGAGTTAGGCTGCTTGACATGGTGGACAGGATCCTTCTGGGCCTGGGAAACCCTCTGCCCATTATAGGAGATGGCCTAAGGCCCTTGTCCAATCATGTTCTTGTAGTCAGGAGCCAGAGTCTGCTTCAGCCCCATCACTGAGGAGAAGATCCACTTTACCTGTGGGACAAGATGGGTAAAACAAGGGTCAGGCCTGCACTCTGTCCTGTGGATAAACCAAGGACTATCTCGCCTGAAGTCCCCTCTGTACAGGTAGGCAAGTACCCACTCCTAGAGCTCCTCTCAAACCATGTTGGAGTCTGGAGGACAGCACGGGGACCGGAGGGGATATAAGGGGCTGAATGTCGGGGACACAATGTGGTAATAGTATAGAACAGATTTTTGGGCAGCATGGGACCAGGCTGAGGATACAACATGGGGTGGAGTGCAGACAATGTAGACACTGAATAGGGATAGTGGTGAGAGAGTCGGGTGTGGCATAAGGACAGGATGAGCCATGAGGTGAGGACAGCATGGAAAAACAAGGTGCATGGTGCATTATGGATGAGTGTAGGGACAGCACGAGATACAGAACGGTCGGCAGCATGGGAAACAGCGCAGGGCAGTGTGGGAGCTGGGGACAGCACGGGAACATGATGGGGCAGCAGGGTTCAGTGTGCGGACAATTTGGGGAGACAATGGGGTCAGTATGAGACAGTAAGGATAGCATGAAAGTACAGACATCAACATGGAAAAGCATAGTGGCTAGCAAGGGGCAATGTGGGGCATGAGGACTGCATAGGACAGAACCGGGATAGTTTGGTGCATCATGGAGATGGCACTGGACACTGTGGAGTCTGTGTTAAGACAGCAGGGTAGACAGCATTGCACAGCATGTATGTAACAAGTGATGAATAGCGTGGGCGTGGGACAGTGTGGGGCATAGGACATCACAAGGATAGTACGGGGGACCGTGTGATGGAAGCAGTATGACAACATGGGGCAGCAAGCAAAACCATGGGAGGTAGAGTGGGGCACTGTGGGGACAGAGTAGACACAGCAAGAGGACAAGCTGGGGAACACGTAGAGGTGACATGGGACGGTGTGGGGACAGCATGGTGACAGGTTGGAAGCAGTGTGAGGACGGTATGGACACTGTGGGGACCGTGTGGCTGACCTTGAAGAGTGTGACGGTGGCACTGTAGCACACGCTGAGCAGGAAGAGGGTGATGAAGATGGTGATGGTCGTCCAGAGCCCGTCCAGCTCCCCGTCCAGGGCCTCAGCACAGTTGTCCAGTTCCACCTCTGGACAGAGAGGGAGCAGTCAGTGTTTGTCCCAACAAGGTGTGGCTGGGAGGGAGTCCCTATGTGGCAAGTGGGTCTGCATGGAGGCAGAGGAGAAAGCACCAGCTGGGCTGGGTCAGCAGACCCTCCTTGGGGCCAGCTTTATTTCTGCTCTCTTTGGACCAGAAACCTCAGTTCCCAAAAGTGTTCCACTTTTGTTTCTGGGCTCAGGCAGACGCACTGGACCTGACAGTGGCCTGGGACTTTGTCGGAGACCATTCTGTTTGCTCAACTCCTCAGTTCTGGGACTGGCTAGGCTGAGTCAGAGCCTGTGACTCTTGTGGGTAGTGACTGTGTAGCTTGCCTGGTCTTTGGTTTGTCCTCTGGTGACTAAGTCCAGAGTGCCAGAGTGATGGCAGAGTCTGTGCCTGGTGCTGCCTGGACTTCAGACAAAGTCCACACTGGGAAGTGAATCGTGTTATACAGCTTTGGAATAGTTTCAGTTGTGTGAGGTAGGCCTGAGGTCCAGGGACAGACTGGGCTTGAGAGGATTTTTGTGTGTAAGAGGAGGGTTTGGGCATCCTCGACAGAGAAATGTTGTATCTGTCTCAGTTGACCCTCTTGTGGATGCCGAGGAGGGCCATGTGAAAAGACTTGATACCCTTTGAACTTTTGAGTACTGTACAATGCCCATGTGAGGGCCCAGTTGTGTGTGTGTGTGTGTGTGTGTGTGTGTGTGTGTATGTGTGTGTGTGTGTGTGTATACATATGGGCCTTGTGGGCTGGGTGTTGCCAGCAGATTGGTTCTAATAAGTCTGAATTCAGCATCCACATGAACATCTGACAGTCTCTCATGGGCAGCGAGAGATACCTTCGTTCTCACCATTTGGCATAGACCTAGCTCCTGCAAAGCCTCCTGGATCGAGCAGAGGTACAGCAAGGGTCTGTCTGAATGCCTATGCCCTCATATATTTTTCCAGTGCACTCAGAGATATCCTGGGAGGGAGGCAAGGATAAACTGAAGGAGATGGGGTTTATGTGTTCCTTTCTTTGCAGGTGTCTTAGGTGTATCTCTGGGTCCAGAACAGATGAACTGCTAGTTAGAGAAAGGGCAAGTGAGAGGCACTGCCTAAGGATCAGCCTTTCCAGTGAGGAATACATTCTTTTCAGGCCAGGCAAATTCAAGAGTGCTGGGTCTGGCAGGACAGGGTCACATTTTTCTCCCTAGTGTTAATTCAAGACCTCAAACCCTGGAGATGCCACAGCCCATGACGTAGGAATACTCTATATGTTAGAAAGAACCAGAACATTTTTGCAGGGTCCCAGGGCAGTGCTGGGTGCTTTATTTACACAGAGAAGGGGTGGAGGTGGGTATCAGCATCCCTTAGGACCAGAGGGCTCACAAGACACTGGGCTCATTTACCAGAAGTGTAGGAGAGGTTCTTCTCTGTGTGGTGGTTGTGCAGGGCCTCGTGTACCACAGAGCAGACGAAAGTATTCCCACTCTCCCAATCACTCTTCTTCACATTGAGCTTGCTGTAGAGGAAGTAAGACTCATCTGTGTCCAAGACGGGTTGGGTGTTTTTGTAGTTCTGCTCTGGTTCTCCATTCCTCTGCCACTCTACATCAATGTCTTGAGGGTAGAAACCCGTTATCATGCAGGTGAGACTGACTTCATTCTTGGTCATCTGCTCCTTGGGTGGGGGTATGGTGTATACCTGCGGAACGCGAAGTTGCCCTGTGGGTACAGAGAACAGTCAGTACAGAGGTCGCTGACAGGGTAGAAGTCATGTATTGTTGCTACGACATCACCCACTCTGCAATGCTCACCTGTCGTTTTGGAGATGGTTTTTACGATGGGGGCAGGGAAGTCTTCACTGTTGACCTTGCATTTGTACTCCTTGCCATTCAGCCAGTCCTGGTGTAGGATGGGGAGGACACTGACTTCTCGGAAGGTGCTGTTGAACTGCAGCTCCCGGGGCTGTTCCTGAGCATCGTGCACCTCCTTGCCATCTATGAACCAGCTGAACTGGATCTTGGGATCATCCTGACTAATGTCCACCACAACACACGTGATCTTGGGATTCCGAGAGATCGTGAGTATATCCTTGAGCTTTGGTGGGAAGATGAAGACGGATGATGTTTCTGGGACTGTAGATGAAGAAGAAAGATGGAAATAGGCCAACGCCTGGACCACTCTTGAATATGGACACTACTTAGGACACTTTTTGTATACAGGGGCTGGAGTAAATGGCCTGTAGACTTACCTGGACACGTGCAAGGGTTGGGACAGCCTGTCTTCGGCACTGTAGAGAGAAGACTGTGTGTTACTGGGGTTTGGAGATGAGAAGGCACCAAGATGCAGACAGGGAGAGTTTGTTTCTTGTGTGGACTCAGGACAGGCTGCTCCTGAGTATGGCCCTTGGCAGATTGATACATGAGTCTGCCTCTGTGTGTCCCGGATGAGGGGCATGGACACACAACCCAGAGCACTAGTCCATGCGTGTAGAGAACATGGACAGAAGTCTCCAAAAGGGACACAGACAGGCTCTCCTGCTACCCTGAGTGGATGTCCTCAAACCCTGGTGATGGCTGCCCAACCTGGTTGGTCTCGGTATGCAGATGGCTTAAGACCCACCTCTAGCAAACCATTCCTCCCTTGCTTGTTCTCTCACCAACTTTCTTGTCCACCTTGGTGCTGCTGGCCGGGTGGGCGACGTTGCAGGTGACAGTCTGGCTGGGCCACATGCTGGAGGGCACAGTTACTGAGCTGCTGAGGGAGTAGAGCCCAGAATCTAGGACCGCCGGGAAGATGTGCACGCCGCTGGTCAGGGTTCCAGAGTTCCAGGTTACGGTCGCCGGCTCAGGGAAATAGCCCTTGACCAAGCATCCCAGGGTCACTGTGGAGCCAGTTGTGCCTCCACTTCCAGGAGCCAGTGGATAGACAGATGGGGCTGTTGTTGTGGCTGCAAAAAAAAGAGGGGGTATATGTGGTCATGCTGTCAGACACGGCTGACCCAAGCCTCTAGAAGGCCTCTTCTTTCAGCCCTCCCAAGGCTCTGGCTCTCTACATGGTGTAGGCAGTATCCAAGAATTGGTTTGGTGACTGTCAGGATCATCAGGTTTGGTCAGGCCTGAGGTACTTTGAGCACAGTCCCATTCCCAATACACTTTCAGAATACTGCCATACTAGCTGTCCACTGGGGTATCTGGGTCCCCACTCTTTGGTCTCTTATGCCTAGGCCATATGGCTTCACACAATCAGGACAATATTGAATGACAAACTAAAGCCAGCACAGTCTTGCAGCCTGTAGCCCCTTCTTGGCATTGCCTGTCCAGTCATGTTGGCTCTTATCAACTCCTAGGCTACTTGTTCCTGCCTTGGTGGGTTGGTGGTTGACTGATGGCCCAGTTCCTAGGTTCCCTGAACTCTCCATGGTCCCAGAGCTCTGGCCATAGCTTTGCTGTGCAGACGGTGTCTTCTCTAGTTGACTTTGAACTAAGTAGGGTTAGCACTCTCTCTCGACTCCTGGGTCTGGACCCACATCTTGCCCATACACAACCTTCTCGACCTATCCCCTCTCAAGTCAGTCCAGGCTCCTAAATGTGTACTCTTGGCCCCTGCTTTGCACCTTATCCCCTCCTCACGCCTTTCTTTTCACCACCAACATTCCCACCTTACAGGTTCTCAGTGTGGGCAGCTCTGGCCGGGCCTGTCCTGACTGGCCAGCACCTTGCTACCTCCCTGCTGTGTAGTCACACTGACGAGACCCTAGCGAGTCCAGTCTTGGCTTTCTATCTCTTCCAGTCTTGTTCCTCATACTGTCCTGGGTTTTCCTTTTGCATGGTACTTGTGTTGCCAGATCCTAGAAAAGTCCCTTTCCTTTTTCAGCATCCTTCGGCCCTTGAAGTTGGAAAACGTCCCCATTCTTCACGAAGCTGGCCAGAACCACCCTGTCCCCTCTATCCTTGGTTCCTCCCGTTATCTCCAGGGCTTTGCTGGTCTCTCCTACATCTTAGCTCTGACACCCTCTTCCCAGACTCTAGTCGTCACCTTCCCTTCCTTCCGTAGGTTGACCCTGGGTACTTACGTTGTTGGCGCAGGTTTGGTTTTTCTGCCCTATGCTTCCATAACCCCCTCCCCACCAGGATCATAGTTAGGATCCCTGACTCGAGAGCTGCCGTCCATCTAGATCCTTCGGTAATGCCAGCCCCAGGACCCTTCCCTATCTGGGTTCTTGCTTGGCCAGAGGCACTTTCTGACTCCTGCACCCCCAGGACTGGTTCTCTCGAAGCCCTCAGCTGTTGCTGCTGCCTTCGTCGGCGCAGCTCTTTCTGCATGCAGTGCTCCTTTGGCTTTGTCTCTGTCCTGAGTATCTCAGGCGGCCCTGTTAGACCTGATCCACTTTCCTGTCTGCCTCTTGCCCTCTATGCTCTTGGGACTGCCTGCTGCCTATGCAGCCTTCCCCAAGCCCCAATATCACCTGCACTGGGCTTGCTTCCTGAGCCCCTAGGGGTACCTCTCCCTCCCAAGGAGTTTCCTGTTCTGTCCTCTTCTCTCCCTTATGATCTCCTGGACTCTGTGGGCCTTGCAGGCTTCTACTGATTCCAGCTCCAGAATTTTCTTGCTCTACTAGGCCCTCTTTGTTCTATTGGATCAACCTCCCTGATTTCACCAGCCAACATACCTTCAGGCCACCAGCCAACATACCTTCAGGCCTGTCCCCATCTCAGCAGAGAGTTGGATCAGCTCCAGCCTTCACCTCTGGGCCTTTTACCCTTCCTAGTTTCTCCTCTTCTCACTCTCAGTATGAAGTAAGGATAGTTGATCCCTCTCCTCTGTCATTGGTCTTCTACCTTGCCTACCTTTTCTTTTCTTTTTTTAAATTTTTATTCATTTTACATGCAAACCACATTTCTCCCTCCCTCTCCTCCTTTCTCTCCTCCCCCCACTTCCCTCCACCTCTCCCCAAGCCACCCCCTATCCTATCCTCTCCTCAGAAAGGGTAATGCCTCCCCCATGGGGAGTCAACAAAACATGGAACAGTCAGTTGAGGCAGAACCAAGACACCCCCCCCCCCCCGCATCAAGGCTGAGTAAGGCATCCCACCAAATGGAATGAGGTCCAAAAAGCCAGCTCATGCACCAAGGTCGATACTGGTCCCACTGCCAGGGGTCCCACAAACAGTCCATTGCCTACCATTTCAACTCATTCTCAACCCCCTGCCCCTGGTACCCAGCAGAGTGATTGTTACGGGCAGTTAATATAGCTCCTGGCAGTGTCCAGGCCCTGCTGGGGTGGTCTGCATGCTCCTCAGTCTGTTTCCCCACATTCTCACCTGCCTGGTTCCCTTTTGTTTATTCAGCTGAAGTCTCTTATACTCTCACCTATCTCAGCTCCCCAGTACCAGCTCAGCCCATGCCCCACACCTTCACCTGCCTCAGCTCCCCAGTACCAGCTCAGCCCATG